CCCCAAAACCCCAAAACCCCAAAACCCCAAAACCCCAAAACCCCAAAACCCCTGATCACCTGAACACGGCTGAAATATATATAAAGTTGGTGATTTGACTAAGGAATCGATCAAATTTATATAAAAATGGATATTAAATTTCAGGTTGTCATTAAAGACCTCTTAGAAGACCTTTTGAAGAAAAATTATATTAGTTAAGTTAGAAGAGTTAGTTGCCACAATAGGCTTATTCGAACTTAAGATTCTCGTTGAGGATGCAGAGAACTTGCTCTTTGGTATAACTAAAGTTGGTCTTGGCCTAGAAGTTAGGATGGAACAAACTTACCCCAACTCCTTGGGTGAGGATGGCGTACTTGTCATAGAGTCTGGCAGCTTCCTGTTGGTCTTTAATGCCTCCGTAATATCTTTTCTTTCCGAAGCCCATTACCATAACCTATATTGTAAGGTTAGCAAATAGATAACTTACCTGCCATTTCTTGCCGTTCACAGAGACACCTCTGTAATTTGATCCTCTTTTGCTGCCAGTAGAAATACGTGGGACAGCTTGGATAACCTCTTTAGAAGCATCGGAGACCTTCTCAAGAGAGGCGAGGATCTCTTGTTTCCTGTTTTCGATCAAATTTTGAGGGATTTTTGCCTTGTTGGCAGCTTTTCTCTTTGACTTCTGTTTGATTCCCTTCTCAGAAGAAACATTTTGATTTTTATCCTGACTGATGGTAGGAGCGATCTAAGGCAACAAGATTAGATTACTGATAGATAATTTGACCAAAGGTACAATCTTTGAGTTTTGATTACAGCAGTACAATGAACTTTTTCGACAAATGTCAAAAATACCCACATTCATAGGTACTCTTTGTGAAGAGGAAGAAACTAGGCTCTATCCTTTCCAAAGATAGTGAATAGCCGTTTAAACGAGCTGGTTTAGCCCACTGGCTTAGAAAATAGTAAGATGCCTACCTTTACATCTCTGATAGTGATGAAGGACTTTGAAGAAGAAGATTCAGTGTTGCACTGTTTTTCATAGCCAATTTGACTATTTTCTTTGTTAAGTTCCATGCATTGAGAGTTCAGTGAGTTCTTGTCGATGATCTTGCAGAAACTAAAGGAATGGTTACTTTCAGGGTCTTTGAAAAGAGAATTATTGATACTTACCTCTTATTTCAGTAAGAACCCTGAGATGTACTGTCATGAGAGCTCTTGCAGGCATCATTTGCACCAAAACTTGAGTTGTCATGGTTCAATTCCTCTGAGAAAGCAGGAATGAGTCCACTGAGACCTCCAAGGCAGTATGGGAAGCTTGATTGAGCTGGAGCTGAGTACATGTTGTTGTAAATGCTTTGAATTTGTGAAAATTGCATCTTTTAGAGTATAGGTTTTAAATTAAATATTAATTATTATTTCTCATGAATCACTATTTATATATTTGTGAATGTTTCAAATAATCGGTTTTACTTTGGGGTTTTGGGGTTTTGGGGTTTTGGGGTTTTGGGGTTTTGGGGTT